TCTGTCTGTCTGTCTGTCTGTGTCTGCCTGTCTGTCTACCTGTGTTGGTATGTGTCTTCGTTTTACAAGGTTGGTGGAAATCTTCAAAATTGAACCTCTCTCCTCACCATCCTTCCTGCAGAACCAACTATAGGCAATACATTGCGGGGAGTGGTTTTTGTTGTTTTTTTCCTTGCCCTGAGGGTAGGTGGAAATCTGCAAAAGACGCTGGGTAGCGAGAGCTACACATCATCTGAAATTTTTATTCACTCAAGTTAAAATCTCCGTTCTTCCCCAACCTCCCCGCGGAACTGCCTAAAGGCATTACATCGAAGAGAATGGAATAATGACTCAGTCACACAACATATGTAGGTTCTAGTGTTAGTCGAGTGAGATGATGATATTTTCCTCCTTTGTTTTTCCAGGCATCTTAATTCCAACCATACTCCCTGTGCAAAATTACACATTGCCTTCCAACTGCTTTCAGAAGCAAGCATATTTGAGACTACATTTCCTTGAGTCATCTGGCCTATCCCAAGCATCTCAATAGTGTCTCGTTGAGGTTTGAAATGTGGTTTTTTAGTGCCACATGTTTGGCATCATCCACAGCAGGTTTGCACACAAGACAGTATGAGGTGTCATATAGTTTGAACGTGTGAAGGTAGGCTCTGATGCAGCCATGCCTCGTTTCAAGCTGCGTGAGGTAATAATTTACCCGACCATACTTTCGATTGATTAACGATTCATCTGTAGGAATCCGTTCGTAGGTCTATCTTCCTTTGGAGGAAGTGTCCCATTGCTGCTGTATTCTGCTATTGTTCCAAGCAGTTTCACATCCTGTCTCTTCAGTCATAACTCCTTTGCCGTACATGGACTTTTATATCTATTGAGATCATCCCGCCTATGATGCAAAGTGCTTCAGTTGAGACTATGCGGAACGCACATACAATTCTGAGTGCAGATAGCCGAGGTTTTGAACGCCATTCATCTTACATAGCTCTTTGTATCTGTAGAGGTGGCCCAGACTGGTGATCCATAGAGAAGAACCAATGTGAGCCAGATCAAGTAGTTTTCTCTTTTCATGGCTAGGTGGTGTAGTGTTCGACATTAACCTAGTTCTGTTCATCCCACAGCATTCATCACCGTTGCTTTCTTGCTGGCATAGTACAAGTTGTCTCTAAAGGACAATTACATGTCAATCATGATGCAGAGGTATTTTATTGCAGATCGTGATGAAGTTTTGTAATGATCTACTTTGGGACTCTTCTTCATGCCAATTACAATCATAATTTCAGTCTTGTGTCCGACTGACAATAGCTTCTTGCAATTACATTCTATCCTCAATAAATTTTGCGACGACAATGATGGAAATTTCGTCTGTGAAACCTATGATCTTGGTTACATCTGGGAGTGGGAGCCTAAGATTCTCATCATACATATTTCACGCCAGTGCTCCCTGTACCGAATCGTATGAGATGCTGGCGATGATTTGTAGCATTTTGAGATGCGAAGCATCTGTAGATATTGATTCCATCTATTTCTCCTAGACGAGTCTAACTTCAGCTTGAGTTATTACTTGTTGCAGTGGAAAATTCCCACATGCCCAAATTGCTGCTTTGTTGCTGTGGTCAGAAACCCATGATGAATCATTGCAGTGTTTAAATTGTTCACACAGAATCGTGACATTGTGTCCTGGCTAGGATATCCTTGACAACTTCATTGTCATTCAGATTTATTTGAACGATTCTCATTCCAATCTCTCATGTCCAATTTTGTCTTTTGTGCTCTTGGTAGGAAGGACACCTGTTACACCCAGTAGCATGTTTGCTGCCATTGCCATTTTGTAAACATGGAAGATACTTTGGTTCTTTCGTGCATGTCTCTGCGAAGTTATCATCACTGCAATTCATGCACAACTTTAATTTGTTATGTGGGCTCTTACATGTTCGACTTTTGTGGGTGTGTGCATGAAAGTGTGTGTTCATGTGTATAAGTGTGTGTGCATGCATGTACATGTGTGTAAGTATGTGTGCGTACATGCAGTCAAGGCAAGCACCTGAACCGTTCGGACAATTTTCTCCATATTGATATTCTGTGAACGACCTGAATGAACCTGCAATTTTGAAACATATTTTATTTTTAGAAGCCTCAGTTATATTTCCAAAATGTTCCCAAAAATGGCTCCAAATTTTTTTATTAAACTTTGTCCTCTGATAGTGTTAAGAATGCATATAATAATGGCGGTCTCACGTTTGTTCAATTTCGAAAATTGAAAAAGCCAAAAAAAAAAGAAAAAAAAAATCAGTGTAAACCTACTAATACAATATTGAAGATAAAGATTTTTTTCCTTAATGAAATGTGATGTTCAAAGACAAATCCTGAAATAATCTTTTGAAAATATGAGCAATTTTGTATGTTATTTAGGAAATTTTTAAACCATTATTTTCTCAAACTCCTATAAATTCTCTTTAAATTTTCTTGTCATATGTATCAAAGGACCATTAAAAAGGGCTAGTGACATTTCCAAAACTCTTTCGAAAATTGCAAAGTTAACATATGAAAACTATAATTTGAAGATAGAGATGTTTGTCTTAAATGAAAGAACGTTCTAAAAAATCTGCTCTTTATAAAAGGTTATGTACAATTAAAAAAAAGATTAGTTTTCACGTAATTTTACTTGAAGTTCATGCAATTTTTTTTTTTTTTTAATTCCTTGAGAACGGCTTCAAATTTTTCTTCAATTGTTCCCTTTCCCCCTAAGGATAGAAGAAAAGACACTTAAAAAATGATGTAATCTCAATTTTGTAAAACTGAATTTTCGAAAAATACAAAATCTAGAAATAATGCGAGAAAGTATGTGCTAATGTAGCACCACTAGTTTTTATGTTGTCTTCATTATTTAAAAAAGGAAAGGAGAAGGCAAAAGGGTTATCAGATAGGCATTGATTCATTGTGCGAAGGATGAAGGTGTTGCATTGTAACATTGAAATAAAAAAATAAATATTCTCATGGTCATTACTTTATCAGCATATGTAGGAAAAATGAATTTAATGAAAACTGGAGTAGTTGTGTATTGAACTTCATAACTTTTCTCGAGAAGTGCCTATTTGGTAACATAACACCTTGTTTTAAAATGATTGATTTGAAGTAATTCTTCACATTTCTTGCAGTCATTAAATAACTAGTTCACTTTACTTTTTAATGTGCTTAGTGAGATGTAATGGACCTTATCAAACATTTGAGTAAAAGCAATATTATGATTCTGGAATATAGACTCTTTGAAATGTTTGAAGTCAAGTCTTGGATTTTTGTTTTTGTAGATGTGGACAATGTTCTACAAAGAATGACAATTGTGGGTGTTATTCTGAGCTTTAGACAGTTAGCTCAAGGAGCACTTGTGGATGTGTTAGAAGAAAGAATACCGTTTCTCCTGAGTTCAATTTTGGATTTCAGGCATAATATACCCAGCGGAGATCCAATGGTATGCAAGATTGTTGTATGTAATTCTTCCCCATTTGCAATAAAATTTCATTTGAGTAAAATTTTCATACAATTAAAAATCTTTCATCTTTTTTGCATTAAACAATAGGTGGTAAATGAGATGGCATCTGCTGCTGGGTTATGCTGTAAAGTTGATCCCACACTTGTGTCAGCTCTACGCAATCAAAAAAATGGCAAGTATACCACTATTCTACTTTTAACACTCCATGATCTAAACATGGCTTCCCCAACGTGTTTTCCTTGTGTGAAACATTCATTAATTTTCTCTAACTGATGTTGTACGGAACCTTACAAAGCGTGTGCTAAACATCATTTTTGTATACCCACGTTATGAACGACCTTTTCTATTGCCAGAAATGGTTCATATAATGGTATTTTATAGTACAACTTGTCTTTCCTACGCATCCTCACTGCCTGTTATACCTGGTCATTCTGCAGGACGTCATACCTACATTTTATGTTGCAAAGTAGAAAACTAGGTTGGAAATTTGTTGCCAAAATTAATTTTGTTGTTTTCACAAATTTATAATTCTATTATAAAAAGAATAAAAACTCTTATATAACATTACTTTACTTTATTCATTCAATTTTTGCTCCTAATGTAACTAGTTTTAAAAAATGTATCTATGCAATAAAGCCTGGCATTATAAACTAGTTACATAAAATATTATTTGTGCACAGCATGTTAAAAAATGGGTATCTGCTATATGTGCACAAGGTAATTCACCTAATTGTTTTGTAATTTACTATTTTATGGCAAACATATGTAATTGGTAAAAGTAATTATTAGTTTGGGTCAAAAGTTTCTGTTAGAGGGGAATACAACAGTTTCTTTAATTGAACAGTTTTCTGCAATGTGAAAATGTAAGCAATCTTTCTGCTTTTGACTCCTCAGACTCGGGGGGGGGGATGTGCTTTTATGTGTTCTACCTATTACAAGTACAAAAGTGCTTAGAAATCACCAAAGCTGTCAAATAAAACAAAACGATTATAAAACATAACTCTTTGTTAATTTTTGATATCATCTGAATCTTTTCAATTACAAGTAGGAGTTTTATATTATGTGTTTACAATGAATTATTGTTTGTGTTATATTATTAGGAATGATGTTGTGAAACAATAGTAGTTAAAAGCTAATTTGAAATTTGCAAATTAAATTTTCATTTTGTGAACCTTAACTCCTTTTAATACTATTTTTATTCTACTAATTAATATTTGAATTATCTTTCAGAGACTGATGATGATGAACATTTGTTGGCTTGCTTATTAATGGTGTTTGTTGCTGTTTCGATTCCCAAGTTAGCAAGAAATGAGAACTCATTTTACAGAGCATCACTTGAAGGTCATGCTAATAACATCCATTGCATGGCTGCTGCTGTCAATAATATTTTTGGTGCCCTTTTCACTATTTGCGGACAAGGTGATATAGAAGACCGAATGAAGGAATTTCTAGCAGTAAGTTCCAGTTGCGTTTCTGCTCTCGGTGAACACTATAACACTCAAGGGTATCATTTCGAGAATGGCAGCATTTTGATTTATAATATAATTTCAGTTTTGCCTGTTGAAGCACAATGCTTTACAGGTATTCATTTTTGGTTGGGTTTCATTTAGTGCATGTATTTTTAAAAGAAATATAAAACTTACATTTTCATTAAACATTTTGCCAACTTCATCATTGGGTTTCATTTTGACATTGACAAGATAGCTGACCTTGGAGTTGTACATTTCAAGTTTCATTAATCGAATTAAACTGAAATTGCGAAAATTTTGTGTAAATTTCTATAGTTCTTATCATGCATTTATTTGCATTGTTTCTATGTTAAGTCTAAATATCCTTTTGAGAAAATAGCTCATCCAAAGTGCGAAAAATTGTATGTATTATGTAGGAAATTTTCTGAAGTATGTTTCACTGACATCTTAGATCTGCTGAGATTCTCTTTAGTTCTTGCAGGATATTGTATGATGTGTTGAAAAGAAGTGGAAAAAGTTAAGTTTATTTCTCAGAAATGTTGCTAACTTGTCATTGTTGTAGGTTATAAGTTGCTCATTTTATTTTATTTTAAGAGTTTCACATATTCTGTACTTGTAAAATTACAAAAATTAGGTTGTTTCAAAATACACTGAAAACCAAGCATTCTGTTGTGTTGTGTATTATAATCCTGACAATGAAATATTTGACTGGAAATATGAAAATTACGAACATTAGAAATCCATTAAAAAGATCAACAAAGGAATAGAAAGCAGTAAAACAAGAAAATAGTATGTTCTCAATGCTGCAACTGGTGAATACAAAGGATATAGCCTGGATGCTCTTCCAACCTACCCCTGCTAGAGTAATTGTTAATTACAGTGCTTAATAATCTGTTTTTTCTGCTTTAGCTTGCCTCATCAAGTTTGTTGCGATTAGGCCAAGAAGCAGACAAGGAGGCTATAAGAAATCGAGAATCTGTGTATCTACTCCTGGATCAGGTATTTATTTTCAATTTCGTTTAAATTAAAAGATACTGCTCTGTGAGTAGGTGTCTTATGTAATAGATAGTAAATGAAGTTTTGAACTCCTAATTGAAAACCCTAGACTAAAATTTGACAAACACCACATTTCTTAGACATTTCATTATTTGGAATTTCATCTTCAACTTCCTCTTCCACCAAACCTAAATAGATTCCCAGTTTCTCTTGTGATGAATAAAATTGTGAATCTTTGGAAATTCAATATGGAACTACTTGTACAGAAAGTAAACAGCAGTAGCACACACAAATTTTATATATCTTGCCAGAAACATCTTACCAGTTTTTGATTATTTATTGAGGCCATTTGGTATAACTAGAAAAATGTGGATATAAATATTTGCTATAGTAATGTATGATGATGATAATGAGTTTCAAAGCTTTCTTATTCTTTTATGTACAGATAGAAAACATTTTCTATTGCATGTATGTTCCTTAGTCAAGACCTCATGGTACAAATTGAGAGATAAGTTTTTATGTGGCAAAATTATAGTGTTAATTGCTTGGAAAACATAATTAAGAAACGTTGAAAATCTAGAAGCTTCTCAGGATCAGTGTACTAAGAAAATTGAACTATTTAATTGCCAACATCTTTTAGAATCCTTTGTTTGAAGGCTGGGAGTTATAGTAGGTATAAAACTTAAGTTGATAAAGATCTCCATATATAACGAATAAATTGTTGAAAATGTTAGATTTTGTGAAACTTGATTTATCATCAGTGCGTGTCTCTGTAAAAACTGCGAAAAAATTAATATAAGAGAAAAAGTGATTGTATCTGACAGTCAACTATTTATCTATGTTTTATCTAATGTCATCTAAATCTTTAGTCGTATATGTTACTCTATTATTTTCTGTATTCTTCAGTTATCTTTATTGAAAGTTAAAAAAAGAGAAAAAGAGTAAGACAAAACACATGTGCACAAACTTTTGTTGTAGATAAGGGTGAACAATACACTTTTGATATAACATTACAATGTCGTATTGCTTTTGAAATATGGTATAATGTGATACTACTTGTTTTATTATGATGTTTATATGAAACATGTTTCGTTAATAACTTATAACTAGGCAGCGGATATTTAGGTAAAAACCTATTTTGTCCTGGGTACCTTATACTAAATGAAGTTTAATTCTATACATTTTAGGATTATTTGAACTAAAACCCGTCAATTTTATATCGCGTAAAAGAGCTTATTCCAACATTAATGCCTATTTTACTTTTAAAAACCTAAAATGAGACTAATTTCTTTTGTCTGTGGCTACTTCTTTCTTCTGTGTCAGCACAATAGATGAGGATGATATGAATTTTAAGTTGCGTTAATCTGTAAGATGGCATGAAATGAATATACAGGACAATAAAAGTCTCCATGCCACTACTTTCTGACTTTGTGGAAAAGCCTGCTTCCACTTCTAAGATAAAGCAATTGACTTTCCACAAAAGAAAAGTGATCTTGACTGATAAGACAATCGTTATCTCTGGAAAACTTAAGAGGAATTTTTAGTAATTAGTAATTTTTTGTGAGGCAAAATAAGGTAAGAATAATTCTAATTAGGGGATAAACAATTTAACTGTTCATAAATAGTATTATTGCAAAATATACTGTACTGATTCTATATAATATTGATTTATGATTTTTTCTTTGATACATATAATAAATTGTAAAAATGTGTTGATTTGTTTGTAAATTTCCTGTTTTATTTGGACCTTTTCTACCAGTTAAAAAGCCTAACCGGGATGTGGACCATGCTCCAAAAATGCATATTTTAAAACGTAAAAATCCGCGGTCTGGTTGTAACTCAAAGATATAAAAGCCATTTAATTTTATTTTATTAAATCCAATATCATTCAAATTAAACAGTGAAACTTTCCTAGGTGGTTACAAGAGCTCTTGCCATTGCATCATCTCGAATTGGGAGATCCTAGGGATTTCGACACAACCTAGAGAACTAGGTTAAATTCAGTTACTGCCTTGGGGAGAATTCCAATGGCCTGACCGCTCTGTACCAATGTCAGAGCAGTACCTTAACACATGGGCTACAGACTGCAAGTTGTTTTTCCTAATTCTTGTTCCACCATGACTCATGCTGGGAGCGTAGAGCTCATCCCAGCTGGGATAGTGCTCCACTAGAGGAGAGTAAAAGAGGGGAAACTCTGCAATCTGATCTGTGCAGGTTGGTGGGAGATCTCATGTTCCAGCAGGGGAGGATCCCTGCCATATACCGGGATAAAACATTCACTAAACATGGGACTAATGACCATCAGTTGATGTGCATGGAAACAAAAAAAATCAAACAATTAATAGAAAAAGTATATTTTGTATCATAATGCAAGTGCATTGTGCATCTCCTTACAACAGTTTGTTATGGCACTCACAAAAGATAGTGTCAATTGTTTTGTTTCTGGTTTCAAATCAAACTTTTAAATTAATTTGAGATTTTGTATTCCCTACCTTCTTGCAAAATGTTGTTCTTGATGGAATTTGTAGTAAAATGAATGGTTCTAAGAAATTTTGTTTGATTGTATTAATTAGTTTTTAAATAACTGCCCTTTTTCAGATTGTTCAAGAGTCTCCATTCCTGACCATGGATTTGCTGGAGTCATGTTTTCCATATGCTCTTATACGCAATGCCTATCATGCTGTGTATAAGCAAGAACACATGCAAGCATGAAAATTGGCTTTCAAAAAATTGTACAAGTTTCATACACATTTCTTCACACAGGGAACGCTTTTGTTGTCCCCACATCTAATGCTCAGAGTGGGGTCAAACCTGAGGAAGATCCACTCTTTTCCCAACAAATATGTGTTGTTTGTTTTTTTGTTTTTTTTACAAAGTGTATTATGAATATGTACATTGTGATATATCCGCATTCACTTTTTATATTCATTCAATGGAATAGTGGACAGTGAATTTTCATGGCTTTACAGCCCCGTGAAACAGTATTTTTATAGCTGTTACTCATATTTGATTTTGTGCATATGAGACTCTTTTATGAATGTAAGATTATATTATATGTACAAAAAATTCTTATGGCAAGCTGTTTGCAAGTTGTGTTGTTTTCATGGAGGTTATTAAATGTGTACGCAATGCACCTATTTAAAACTAGACAAGTAAGAAGAAGAGATTATTTTATCGAGTATAGATTTCTTAAAAAAATCATAAGTTTATGGCATACATTGAGGAATATTTGCAACAATTATTTAAGAATTTTATTTAAATGATTGGTACTTTGTGATAACCAAAATATTTTTTCCTTATCTGGCTATTTGTCTTGATTGTGGACTTCAACCTATTAACCTATCTTTTCTCTTTCTTCTGTATCTGTATTCATTGATAGTCTTGCCAATTTTTATTTATATTCGTCTTTAATATGTCAAAAATGTACTTTTAAGAAGGGTTCAACAATTGCGAAGATTATAAAATATTTGTTATTAACAAACTCCAGTGCATCTTTTACAGTTTAGTTTGCACTGCCACCTGGAATTTCCATTTACCAATGTGCTTTTGCCATTTCTTTGTTTGGTAAGCATCTCGCAGTTCAACAATTAAGTTAAATAAACAAGTGTGTGTGTGTGTGCGTGCGGAGGGGGAAGAGAACTCATAAAAATTCATTACCTAACCTATTAACCATAATTTCATTTATATATAAACATCGTGGTAAAATGATTATCTGTTATATTTTCATTAAAAGTGTCCATTTTATTGTGTTCAAATGTGTTGCATATATATGTGTACGAAAATAATATTAGCAAGAAATCGAAATGTAGAGGATCACATAGCATTTACTTTTATTGCTTTTTGGCTTCACTACAAATACAGTGAAGTTATTTGTTAATTTATCAGTCATTCCTTTTCTATCATTTTGTCAAATATTGTAAAAAAGTAGTGATGAAGTATATTGAATTTTGAAGAATACATTTATTTCTTTTCTTAATGCCCAGAAATTTCAAAGGAAAGTAAACTGGGTTACTATATAAACAAGACAAGACCAATTGCTATTCTGCAATACGTATTTTTAAATTTTATCACCCAGTTTGCTTTACCAAAAGAATGAAGTTTTTTGATGCTAAGAGCAACTGTAATTTAGAACAAACATTAAGAATTTTAATTGCCTGCTAGTATTTATGAATATGGAGTTGGAGAAATTTTGAGATGTTTTTCTGCAATTTTATCCAAATTCTTATAAATGTGGTCTTGACTACAGACCTGTTTTAATAATGTAATAAAACAAAGAACCAAACGTACCAAGAATTTCAATGTTTCACATTAATGATTCTGATAGTCTGAAAAGATACAGGAAAGAATGGAAATTATGCTGAAAAATGTGTAAAGTAGGTTAGAACTACTTCATTCATCCAGTAATGGATTATCACAATGTTTTAGCAGTCACAACCTAATTCAATGAGAATAAATTAAATAAATTACTCACATTGAAGTCCAACATTAGCACGCTCAAAGATGTGGGCTTCTGTCAAGTTGATACATTGTTATGTATTTTAAAAGAATAGGATGTCAATTTACAAATTGAGAAACAGCTTTACAATTTACACAAATACTGGTGTGTATAAAAGAGTAGCCTAGTTTCTTCAGATGTATTCTAAGGTTTTTAGAGGTGTTTCCTCGTGTATGTTTGAGCTGGAATTGTCATATTTAAGATCATTTTTTTTAAAGCCAATACACTGAAGAAAGAAAAAAGAAAAAAATTTGGATGGAATTTTCTAGAATACTATAACAATCCTTAAGTTCAATAGTGTAATTGTTATTTACTACTAATGCTAGCCGATTATTCAAGAAATTGCTTTTATGCCGTTCCTTTCCCCTGTAAATACTAATTTCCTTTGGGATACTGTTTATAAAAAAATTAAACACTTCTGCTATTATTTTGGGTAATTTTAAATGTTTCAATCAACCTCATTTCAACAATTCCACTCAGTTTATTTATAAGAATAAGTATAATCATTTACATCTTAATACTATCTTTTTCAATGTTAGGCTGGTTTCTATGGTTAACTGACAGGTTCATTTCTACATATAATTGACAGCCTTCGAGTCTTCAATACTGGACATCCTCTAAATAAGGACACATCATTTCCTAAAATTTCATGGGTAAAATTGTATCTCACAACTCCTCTGGAAATAAAAATTGCCTGTGCTTTTTCAAGAGAAACCGGTGTGTTAAAGTACATTACCATAATTATGATTAGCACTTACTTCATGATGTACAATGAACGTCGCCTTAGAAGTGCATCTACTTTTAAATCTTTCCTTTCATGATGAACAAGGCGCATTACAGAATCTGATAAAAGGCTGAGACCAGCAATAGTGTTGCCACAAAACTACAAAAGAAAATTGGAAGAATCTATTATGGAAGGTCACATAAAAATTAAGAAATAGTTATCTTAATATTTTTAATACCCTCGTGCTGTCAATATGAGCTTTAATAACACCATTTTCTGCCAAATCTAGGACATGTACAAGTTTAAGTTGTGGGACACTGGCAGGAAAGCCAACAGAGCGCACTTTATCAATAATAATCTTGTTCTTTTCATTCCATTGGAGTCTTTCCGTCTCACGATAACCATGAATTGCCTGAAAAACAATAAACTGTTTCCTAAAACATAAGATCTAATTTCAGATTTTTTTATAAATCTTTGTGCTAGCACATTACACAAATTGAACACTAGATTTGTATTCACAAAATATTACTGTTATTCTTTTATCTGAGAAGAACGAGCAAGTCCTTCGACTAAGAAATAACTTACATCATCCCAGTGATCAAATTCATAATGTAACTTTTTCATGTACGGCTCAACTTCTTCAAAAAGAGACTTTTCCTCTTCTAGACTTAAGAAGTCATTCAAAATGATCATATTTTCAACTACCTGTTCACGACATTGCTCATCACATGAATTGCAAAAATCAAGGGAACTCTCCCACTTTTTTTTTTTCTCTTCTGTATTAATATTTCTCAAATAAGCAATTCGCAGATTGGAAAATATCTTGTGGAGTGTATTATTACAGCGTTGAAACAACATCACAACTACTATTTTCTTTATGTACTATTATTACCTACTTGTCTTCATTGATGGCAATTGACAGAATTGCAAATTAATAGTTTACAACTCTTCCTTCCGCAGACTTATTTTGGATGTCACTAAGTTATAACTATGGAAGCAAAGATAGAGTCGAGCTGTATTTCACTATTTATTCTTTCAAATGTCATTCAATGTCTTTCAATTGTCACATCTTTTCCTTGCCGTTTCGTACCCGCCAGCTCTCTCTATTACTACGAGTACTGTTGCTGGTGTTGCTGAGCTCTGAGCATGAACACCGGTGAACACTGAACACCGCAACGGCGCGCAACTTTTCTTCACGATGATCCATGCGATGAGCTACCTTTTCCCCCTCCGTGATACACTGAACAGGCAAGGGGGCATCGTATCCGACTTCAGCCAATGAGTTTCAGGCACCAGTTTGCGTCATAAAATAGCGGGAATTTTAAATGCAGCGTGTTACGAAAACATTCCTCCATTGGTTACAAATAATTAAAATATGTATATGAAACATTTTTATAATATTCTTTATAACTTTTATTTCAATTATACCATCATCTTATTACTCATCGTTAAAAGTGTCCCTTTATGCCTCTTTCAAACGTTTCTTAACACTTCTTGCTCTCCATGCAACATGGTCGCGTCATGCGTCTGGTCTGGCTTTTCATACGAAGTGTCTGTGTTGGGGTCACGTGACGTGACGCAAACAGATGCTGCGCAGGACGAGCCCACTCATATCTTTCCACCAGGGGTGAAAGTAAGAGCACGCAGCGAGCACTGCTGACATTCCAAACACATCTTCATTGGCGCGAAAGAAGCTATTTGCTGTTGAAGATGTGTGTGCGTATCACGTTTATAGGTCAAGTGTTTTAAATATATGTGTGTACGTGCGTGCGTGCGTGTGTGTGTGTGCACCCGCGTTCGTCACACACACACGCGGGTGCCTACGTTCGTCCCATACGCCCACGCAACACGAAAACATCTGTAGTAGACCGGGTAATCGAGCGCGGAGCGATTATTTGAAACGGGCGTGCCTGTAGCCTGCAATACTGTTGCGCGCTATGTCCGCGGCACAGGTAAATGACGTGGAAGCAGTCAGATAGGGAAGGGGGAGATGATGTGCATGCATAAAAGGGCGATCACTCTCTTCTGCTCCCTATCGCCGATCCAACAGCAACATTGCCCTGATTTAGGTAGTAGTTATTGGACGTGAGAAAGATGCCTAGTTAGCCGTCCGGAAACGTTTATTAGAATTTTTACTGTGGGAAAGTTTTTATCGAATAGAACGAATAGATTTAATTTTGATTCAGTTATTCACTGTGCGTCAGAGGACAGCAAAGACTAGTTAATAGTTCAGGCTGTGAAGAAGCAAATTGCAGACAGAGGCGAAATTTTGGCCAGTACTAGCTACGCGTACGCCTGAAAATACGCATTGCGTAAACGAAACGACCGGAAGGCAGGGGGCCAGGGACGCGACGACGCACGGGGCAGCGTGCACGCGCGAGCTTTGGGGCAGTGGCGGGCGCCGCGGTGCGAGGCAACGAGGACTTCTTCAGAGGAAACATTGCTAGCGAAATAAGTTTTCAGGACGCGTCTAGTTATCATTCAGAGATTCCTGCGATCTAAAGCATTATTGCCTACAGAATTGTAAATAATTCACTATTTAATTTGTGTTGCTCATGGCGACAGAGAAATTGTTACAGAGTGTTACGCGTCTGAGCAAATTCTGTATTAAAGTTATTTGGATTGATTGTTAAATTGAACCCTGTGTCATTGGGTAATGTAAATAGTAATTGCAGTAAAGATAGTAAGCAAAACAAAGGGAATTCGCAAGGTGTTATATGCGCGAAAAGATTGAGTAATTCGTGCATTGTAAAGAAGGGTAACATTTTTCCTGATTATTCTGTTGTGTTATTTTTTGGATTCATGTGTGATTTTGTAAGCAACTCAAAGGTTTTTCAGAGTATTAAACCCAGTTTAATTGAGTTTCGTGTTCTTGTTAGGGATTTGCTCTCAACGCCCAAAAAGATTCCACTGCCCCTGAGGCATCACAGCTCGCAAGAGCATGATTTCTGCGAGGTCCCCAATTTTTGGAAATTCATAGAAAGGGAGGTCGTCAGTATATATATATATGTGTATATATATATATGTGTATATATATATATATATATATATATATATATATATATATATATATATATATATATATATACGCTATGGGGATGAGCTTTTCGGCTGCATCTCTTGGTTAAGACAAGGTTGTTAGCCTTAAATATCTATTAGGGGGATAGGATGATCTCTTTATTATAGTGTGTTAATGAGGGATGAAAGGACTAGGATGTTGGTAGGTGTTCGGTGGGAAGTTTTCGTGTGAATTTGGTGCCAGTGGGCCGACTTTTTATAGAATCAGTGCAATGAGGGTAAATGGCGAATCAGGACGAAACTAGCCGTAAACCTATTGATTTAAATGGTGTATGGAATGGGATGTTAGGGTTGTGAAACTGATTCATATTAAATATACTTCATTTTACCGATTAATGTTTATTATTAATAATGAATTTGTGTTATTATGTAAAAAGAATCTTAAGAACACTTTGAAAAAAGTTTTCATTTTATTTTCAGTAACTGGAAAATCAATAGTAAAATTAAAATTAACTAGTGGTGCTGCCAAAGCACATTCGTTATCGCATTGTTTCTAAAAGCTCCGCAACATTACACTACATAACTAGAAAAAAAATTTATCGCTTAGCTAATTATTTTTACGCCCCGAGACTCGAACTTACATCCTTAGAGTTAACGTTCCGGCACTCATACCGCTACGCCACAGAAGCGCCGCGTGGTTTCAACTCTGAAAAAGGTCTAAAAAGGTAAATGCCCGATTTATGTAAAAACACCTTCAACAATTAAAATATCCGTTAGAAACTTCCAAAGCCTCCAGTCCGTTAAGATCAATCAGGGTATATCAAAATGTTGACAAGATTTATTTAGCCAAATGCAGTAAACACTGAATGTGGCGTATGGGAGAGAAGATCACCAGCACACGTTTTCGTAAGTTTCAGAATCCTTTCCCATCCTTTAAACTATAAATAGTTGATGGATGAGTAAAAGTTAAAATAAATTTAAAAAAATAAAAATTCGCGGGATTATCAACTTTTGAAAACTATACATTTTCCGCCGAGTTATAGAAAACGTATTTGCAATGGTAAACGAACTGCAGGTTTGATTTTTCTGCATTGCTAACAAAATAGTAACCCACCCTTACCTCTACTCCTACGACTACAAGGAAAAGGAGAGGTCAGCAAAACGTGCGCATAGTGAAGCTACATTTACGTCCAGAAGCAAAACAAGGGGTCATCTCAGCATATGCTCAATGGATCAGGGAAAATGGATAAAAATTTGATCGAGATGTGGGTCATTGACCAGGAAGCTGAAGTACATTATTTGTTACAAGCATATTAAGTCTTTTTAAAAATATTTTACAATACAAATGCAAACTAATTCATTATACATCACTTTTTTGTTAAAATAAATATTATTTTTATTTTTGATTATTGGTATATTCTCTAAATGCATAGAAACAGTTATGTTGCAGAAAAAAATACTTTTAACTTAAATTTGTGTACGAACATCAATTGTTTAATGCCATCTGGCAATACGTTGTAAAGTAACGTACATGTATTGCACGTGGATTTCTGGTAGTGAGCTGTTGATACAGACACTTGATGTACGTAATTTCTACGACGTGTGTTACAATTATAAATATCAGCATTGGATGAAAATATGTTCCCACCGGTAAGTCAGTCAGTTTTGACAAACATTACAGATTCGAAGAGAGGCTTGCAATAGTCACGCGGATGGCATTTTTTAAATTATTCGAATAATTTTATTTTTCAATCTAAAGATCTGGGAACTAGATGATGAGCTTCCCCAGATTATTATGCCAATGCACATTTGCAAAATACACGCAACGAGCTGCATGGAAGCTGACAGAATTTGAAAGAATTCTGAATGCGTAACATAATGAACTTAATTGTGTTTAATTCTGTTATATGTACATTCCATTTGGTGTTTGACTGAATTAAGAGACTGTGTTACACCTCAACATCAGCTTATTGCAAATTGTTCATTTTCAATGGAGCATACGATTGCTTATTTGAAATACAAAAGTGCATTGAAACAATTTTATTTATCTTAACCGATTGAATTTGTTAATAGAAGTGCTTCAAGTAACTTTCAATTAGGTTTCTGTAATTTTCAATAGTTTTGTTCGGCAACGCACGGGCGGCGGGGCGATGCGGTAATGCATCCAATGGCGAACCACCGTAAGCCAAAGACGCTCGCCCTCGTCGCCACCTCGGAAAGGCACCTTCTCGCTGTCGGAATGGCCGTGTTTCAGTTCAGCAGCTGCCTCCTCAGCTTCGCGGGTCACGTGGCCCTCTCCGCTTCCTTCCCCGCGTTGGCGGCACGCGTTTTCCGCGCTTTCTTCATCCCAATCGCGTCGCAAATTACCGTTTGAATCTCGCCAAATTCCGTTGTATCTCAAACATCAAGTTGCGAGTCGAGGTGTAGCCGAATCGCCGGGATTCGCTTGGAGGTTCAAGCTGGGAGATAGAGAACTGATGATAATTACGTTGACTAATTTTTAGGAAACACATTTTTTAGAATGAGTAAATTGAAAAATGAGAAGATAATTCAGAATATATTCACTGTAATCTCATCGTCAATTTCCAGTTCCTGGGATTTCAAAACGCGACCTAATTTACCTTGCATACAACCTGAAGGGCCCTAAATACTCACCTCACATAATCAAACACCGCGATTTTTCATGGCACCTTGTACACGAACAAGAATCACTGGATGTTAGAGAGGCGATTTTCACTTACTTAATAACACAGCACTATGACCGGCATGTGCCTTTAAAAATTTCACGTGTAACTCGTCCTCCTGCACCATGGTTAACTGCTGAAATTCGAAATTTAATGAAAGATCGTGATGCAGCGTATGCAATTTTCCGGAAAACTAAATGCGAACTACTTAAAAAACAGTACAAAATGCTCAGAAATTTAGTTACGCAGGAATGCCACTACGCTAAAATAAAATATTACCACACAACCTTTCAGCAGAAACAGCGACTCGAAAACGATTTGAAAAATCTGAAAAATAGGCAGTGGTTCTTCCCAAATTGAAAAAAATATATCCTTAGAATCACTAAATCATAGTTGCATAAATAACATTATGAATAAATAGCATTTTCACTTCTGATTTCTTTCTCTTATTTTTCCTTCTCTTCCGCTTTGCTCTGTAAATTGATGATGTTCGGCCCTAAGCCGCAATCCTGATCGAGGTTTTCTGGGTTTACTCAATCGCTTAAGGCGTATGCCGGGATGGTCCCTAGATTTGTACTCCCAGACGTAAATGTGCAGAATGGGACTACTCTTTATGTAGGTAAATTCAGTGGTTAGGCCTTGAAGTAATGCGGCCGCCTTATGGCTCTTACAGCATTCGCCATTAGAAAGGTGGAATTCTGGTATCTGATATTCTTTAGTTTATTTATTCATTATATATTTATCTATTGCTTTTAATTCTTATTATTTCTTGTTTATTATTCTTCTAACGGTTTTTTGTTACATTCATGGTATATTTTTACTTACCCAGATACAACTACCTACTAGTAGCATGTAACCTAGATGCGATA